GGAGGCGGAGCTTGCAGTGAGCTGAGATCCGGCCACTGCACTCCAGCCTGGGCGGCAGAGCGAGACTCCGTCGTAAAAAAAAAAAAAAAGAGTACTTCTTACTAGAATAGAAATGCCGGCCGGGTGCAGCGGCTCACGCCTGTAATCCCAGCATTTTGGGAGGCCGAGGCAGGTGGATCACGAGTCAGGAGATTGAGCCATGGTGAAACCCCGTCTCTACTAAAAATACAAAAAACTAGCCGGTCGAGATGTCGGGCACCCATAGTCCCAGCTACTCGGGAGGCTGAGGCAGGAGAATGGCGTGAACATGGGAGGCGGAGCTTGCAGTGAGCCGAGATTGCGCCACTGCACTCCAGCCTGGGTGACAGAGGGAGACTCTGTCTCATAAAAAAAAAAAAAAAATCTACACAGTAGGTATGAAGCTAACAACTATAACATCAATGTAGGACAGTCTACCTATTGACAAGACTCAAGGTGCACAGAGAGTCCTACTCATGACCCAAAGAATACCAAGAAAGGCCACAGAAGGATCATTCACTGCAGCCAACAACTGAAGGATACAACTGTGACCATAACTGGAGATAAGATGAAGAAACAGATCCTAAGGGAAGTAGATTGCACTGGATTTAAAAAAAAAAAAAAAAATCCCTAAATCAAATCCATTCTGAACTTGCAATAAAGCAAGAGTCAGTAAACTTTTTTTGAAAAAGAACCAAAGTGGCCAGGTGCAGTGGCTAAGGTCTGTAATCCCAGCACTTTGGGAGGCCAAGGTGGGCAGATCATATGATGCCAGGAGTTCGAGACCAGCTTGGGCAATATGGCAAAACCCCGCCTCTACTAAAAATACAAAAATTAGCCAGGAGTGGTGGTGCATGCCTGTAATCCCAGCTACTTGAGAGGCTGAGGCAGGCGAATCGCTGGAACCTGGGAGGCAGAGGTTGCCATGAGCTGAGATCGCACCATTGCACTCCAGCCTGGGCAACTGAGTGAGACTCTGTTTCAAAAAAATAAAATAAAATAAAAAGAGCCAAAGAATAAATATTTTAGACTTTGTGAGTCAAAAGGCAAAATTGAGGCTATTACATAGGTACCATATAACAAAAGAGAAAACAAATTGCCACAAATGTTTTATTGATGAAATTCAATAAGTGATAACAATAATTACGTATTTTTTTTGTAATACAGGCCTATAAGAAAAATAGTGTTCTTTGGCTGATAAATAAAATAACAGAAGTTTAAATATGTTATTAAAAAGTGTAAAATTATCCATAAGAAGAACAAAAATTATAACATAAACAATGGAAATGTGGGAGTAGGAGACATTGGATAAAAGGTAAATTCATGAATTACATTCTAATATCTTCATTTTGCAGTGGGCAGTCAATAGATGCTATCTAAAATACATAGCTCACAAAATACAGGTTGAAATATAATGTATTATATTCCAAGTCTTGAAGAAAAATAATAATGCATGAACCTTCCAAAGTATCAGAGGCAAAACAAACTATGTGTTTATATAAGAGAGGGATTAAAAACATGAGAAAAAGTTTAAAATAAAGGATAGTTGTGGCTGACTTTAATAGGTTGCCCATACAATATTCATTTCCTCCTTCACTTTCCCAAACAGTAATCTTATTTTTGTTCAGGTAGATCTAAAAAAATAAAAGACAGGTTAACTATTACAGAGAATAAAGTAATAAATCAGACAAAACGAATCAAGAGTCTGGAAGGAGAGAGAAATGGGGACCATAATGACTGAGAATAATCTTCCAGACATAAATCTTCAGTTTCATAAAGTCCAACAAATTCTAAGCAGAATGAACATATGTTCATACATATATACACATGAGCACCCACATGTGGATACACACACACACACACACACTCCCCCAACATAGTGAAACTGCAGAATGTCAAAGACAAGGAGGAGATCCTAATGGTACTAGAGATAGATTACTTAAGCTGGAAAATCACTGGACTAAGAATG